CACCACCAATTACTGTGCCTCTTGTATGAAACCAGTTGCGAGGGTTGTGCTACAAGAAAGGAATTTTCCACGGCGTGATCTGCATGGCAACCACTGATCCACTTGGGCAAGGATCAGACCTGCGTTAGAGCACACCAATGCCCTGGATGCATTGTGATGAAGTTTTTTTTCTGCTCTGTGCAGTGGCCGCTGGTCACAGAAAACACTGCTTGGTGGTGAGTCTCGGCCTGTGGGCTGTGGTTGGTTTTGTTTGGTTTGTTGTTGTTGTCTTTGTCCCATCTGATTGTATTTCCCTTTCTTCAATGACCTGGGCACCATGTCCACACGGCGTCCGCACTCGTGGAAAAAAAGAATGGAGGATGAGCTAAGGTGCAGAACCATGCTAGGATTGTCCAAAGTTTCACCTGTTTCACCTGTTTCACACGGGCATGCAGTCGATGACATTTGCAACGGTGCAGCGCTTCATAGACCAAGAAGACACCTCACTCTGCTTGCTATTTGGCACCTTTGAGTGCCAATGTGTGCTAGGCTGACCTCCCTTCGGAGGGGCCCTTTTCGCACTTTTACCCTGTAAGTGCAACCGGTTGAACGGGTTGTGCCACAAGAAAGGTCTTTTCCACGGCATGCCGCACAGGTGCGCCACCCCACTTGCCAGGAATGAAGTCGACGTTGAAGCGTTGCGAAACTCCGCACTGGGGTGTTGACCTGAATCGTGACCATGATTTTGCCGCACTGGGGTGTGGCCGCTGGTAGTTGTGAAGTGAGGTCCCTTTGAAGCCTTTTTGCGACTTTGCTTGAGCACATGCCTGCGCCGATATGCTTTTCGTTCGTGAATTCAGGCCCCTTTCTGGACACTCTTTTTCGTCTCACCTGTTTCATCCAGCACAGAGGAAAGACTACATCATGGTGGTGACTTGGCTTTGGGCCTTTTGTTGTGGTTTTTGGGTTGTGTTTGTGGTTCTTGTTGTTTTCTCCACCATCAGGCTGTTTTTCCTTCCCTTCAACGATGACCTGGGCACCATGCCCACACGGCGTCCGTACTCGTGGAAAAAAAAAAGAGGGAGTTCACTTTAAGTGAACTTTCACATGACCTGTTCACGAGGACCAGCCTGCCGGATTTGAAAAAGGAAGTCATCGGTTGGCATCAAGCAGGATGTCAAGTGGAGCGAGACTTAGGCACTTTGGATGCTTTAGTCGAAGACCTGCGCGGAAAGTCTCAGCGAGAGAACACAGGGGAAGATGCCACCCTTGTGGGGGACGGACCCGTGAAGGGTCGTCCGCTATCTGAATTGTTGAAGGTCTTGCGCGCGAATCGCTGGAGGCTGCAGACCATCCGCGATGGAGAGACAATGTATTCCTATGCGTATTTTTGTAAATACACAAGCATGGATGATGTCTCATTGCCAGCATTCACGGCAAATCTCCAAGAGTTGCAAAGGGATGGAGTTTTGGACGTCATCTGCTGGGCAGCTTTGAGGATGAGTGAGACTCAGTCCACGGTTCACCGTTTGACCGACTTCATGGGCCAGATCCAGAGTCATCTGAAGATGACGGAGGAAGGAACCTCTGAATTGAGTAAGAGGTTGGTGGAATTGTCTGCCGGTGTGATCGGGGTCCAAAGCGCCAATCGACGTGCTCTTCAGCGGACATGTGAGAATGTCTGCTGGCAAGTTTCCGGCTCGGGGAAGTCTCAGAATCAGAGCCTGAAGGATTTGGTGATTTCGATGTCGAAAATGCATCAGTCCTTAGATGGGCACTTTAGCAAGAGCAACAAAATCTCCGAGTCGAACGCGGAGACCTTAGTGAACATCGAAGGACACCTATCTGCCATGAGCGACGGCATCAAGAAGCTTGTGGAGCACCAGACGAGTGCCAAGAAAGAGGAATCCAAGGATGCAAGTGTGCCTGAAGGACAGAAGAGGGTGGATCCTACCATGGGTCCCGCCGCAGCTACCGCCAAGGCGGTTGCTGGTGCCCAGCTTGGCACCGCCGCGATGGCACCAAAGGCGATGCCGCTACAGCCAGGGGAAGGCGTTGGATCTTCACCGGCAAATCCAGTGAGTGTGCCTTCACCGGCAAATCCAGTGAGTGTGCCAGGTCCAACGGGACCAGCAGGGAACATGCCACCAGGACCACCTCCTCAGATGGATCCGAATTTGATGGGAATGGCTATGCCTTCGTCATGGGCCTGCTAGCCACCTCCTCAGTTTTTCGGACCAGGCCAGGGTATGACGATGCCCACGCAGCCTCGCTATAAGTGCGGGCTTTTGCCGCGAGATCGGCCCACATCAAATTCTGGCTCTTCAAGGTGACCGCTGCTTTGCCGTTTTCTCCAAAGCTCTGCCCAGCACTGTTATTCTCCATAGTGCCCTCTCCTTTTCTGACTGCACAGTGCCATGCTTGCTGAAGGACGGTTTGTGCTGGAACCGTGAAGTAAGCATTTAAAGTCAATCCTTTGGATTGAGAACCACCAGTCCAACTGCGTCGTGTGCAGGGGCCCCTTGATGTCCCACATGCCACGCGTGTCGCTCAAGAACCTTCGCATTCCTTGCGATAACTGGCAGCCATGCTCGCGCAAAAAAACTACAGCACGTGTCACGCGCAAGCAGCGGTCAAAGCGCGCAAAACTGAGCGCATTCCAGACAATAGAGCGGCCAACCTGATCGTTGAGACAGGGAGCGGCCAGCAGAACAGAAAAGACAGTGCAGGACAGAGGAGCATCCAGCTCTTCTTCCCTGACACAGAGCCGTCTGGCTGTTCACCTGAAGGTGGCCTTGTCGGTCGGCAGCCAGCCTGAGCACACGTCTGGGCTGAACCCAGCTTGCACACTGTTGGTTGTCAAACTCCCTGCAACGGTGGTGTGCATCCAGCAAACCTAGTAGTAAGGCCAGGAGCCCCTAGTAGCATCCCACTCTAAGGTCCCGACGGGAGGGAGGGGTAGGGAGAGAAGAGAAAAAGAAGGGACACCCAGACAAGAAGGAGGGAAAGGAAAGGAAGGAGAAAAGAGAGAGAGGGAAAAGAGAAGGAAGAGGACGTTCCCAGCTACGCACAAACGTCCAGGGACACACCAGTGAGAGAGAGGGGTGAACCTGAGTATTACATTCAGGAACACCCCAAGAGGACAAAAAAGGGGGGAGAGAGAGGAGGGGAGGGGAGGAGGAAGGGGGCTAAGGTCGCGACAGACTCCATGAGTCTAAACGAACTTGGGCCGCTACGGCCACGTACGCCGTGCCATAATGGCTGGCTGCTTTGACCGGCTGTCTTTCAGGGATGCTACGCGCTGGTCACTGTTTTGCACCAGGATGCGTAGACTTTGGTGCGCGAGCCTTTGCTGAATGCTGTTCACTGGCCCTGCATCTTTTTGAGAGCTGCCTTAGACTCTTCCAGATCACCCTTACCCAAGGCTTGACATGGCCGAGCTTCCTCCATTACCGCCTCCATATCGAGGAACTTGTTAGCCTCACTCCCAATAGAAGCTAACCTTACAATGATAGAGTTTGAGAGTTTGCCCAGAGATTGTGAACATGATGGACATTAGATAGATCTACGCAGAGATTATGCCAGGAGAATTCACAGCGGATTGATTCTCAATGGAGGCTTTGTAGCGTAAAAGCACCAAACACTCAAACCCTAATCACCTGTGACATGAAGGGAAAAATCAATGCAGGAAACTTCTTAGCCAGAAGGAGCTTGGAAGATATGAGATCAACGGAAGGACAATATCAAGGTCATAAAGTGATGTTAGAGCAATACATTCAGAAAACCTTTGACAAAAGCCTTCAGACCAGGAAATAGAGTTATCTGTCAGAGAACAGTATGAGATAGAGCAGGCAAGGCCGACTGGAAGGAAAACTCAAGCAAGTCATGGAAAAGAGAATGCAACCTATTGGAAAGAGGACTGCAAGAGGCAGCAGATCAAGTTGAAAAATAAAATATAATGTGCAGTTATGAGGAGAGACAACCCAGATACACCACGACCAACACCAACAATCTCTGGGAACCCCGTTCCCTAAAAACATAATACAAGAAAAAATGTGAGAAAATGGACTACGGTGGCAAAGTGAGTCAAAGTAGCAATTAGATCGCTCACACTACTGAGAGGGTTTCCAATAGGAACCATAGCTACTGACATAGCATCATGAGCATTTCGCATTGCGGCATGAAGGACTGCAGCCCTTTTCTGGATCAAAAGAAAGTTCGCAACTTTTGTTCTTTGATGTTTTTCCAAGTTTTTTGGTGGCAAGCGCGTCGAAGGAGAGGAGGGTAAGAGTAAAAGGACAGAAGTAAGAGAAACAAACAAAGATATGTCAAACAATAGCGGGAAAATTGGAATGGGAAACAACAGAAGCCCAGGAACACATGCGAACGTGCAAACCTAGACTCCGTAAACGCATGGGGGACATCAGTCAGAGGACAGTCAAGAGCAAGAGCACGCAAACACACAAAAGCCGACGTTGGCGCCTGCTGTTGCGCCAATTTGTTTTTCTAGCTAGTGTGAAAGTTATCGATCTGCCATAGTTTTTTGTGTTTGGTGATGCCGTACCGGAGCAGGAAAAAAAACAACATAATTTCATGCAAACGTTTTTATTTTCACTGCCGTGGTTTGACTCTCAGGTTGCACTTGCTAAATGCAGTTGCCTTTTGCAATTTTTGTTGCTTCCAACTTTTGCATTCCAACTAACGCCTCAAATGGAAGGCGCCTTGATTCCATGCTGTAGCAAAACCATTTCACAATGACATGGTGGTTGGACACTTGACAACACTTTCTACTACAACATTTCCATTCATGTGGCATGCTCGCATGATGTTCGATTTGCAAACTTCCATCACTCTTCTTTGCCATACATTGACAGTGGAAGCTTTGCAGACATGCTGCACCATGGTTTGTGATGCAGAAAATGCTAACTTTTAGTTTTTCCCGACTCACTTTTGATACAGCACCGACCACTGCCAAGTCATACCAATTGAATTGACAAGTCGCGGAGCGAGTTGAGAAGTGCAGTCGCTTAGTTTGGCTCAAAGGGCATCCGTCCTTTCTACTGTACGTGAAGAGACTTTGTCCACCTGAGCGCAAGTGCCATGATTCGCATGTGGACGGGATTGTGGACTTTAGCTTTGCAAGAGCTTTTTGCACATGGCCAGAATGAATTGATTGAAAGCAATTGTGATGTCCAAGGCATGCTCCAATTGAAGTTGCAGCCAGACATCGTCAAGCCAGAAACAACCACAACAGAGCCCGCAGAGGCGAGTGCGGCAAATCTATCAAACAGTTCACAGCCACCTTTGGTGACTCTTATGCCGACGCAAGCGCTTCCAGCTCCAGTGGTAAACATCACAACTTTCCATTGGGAGCCACATTGGCAGTGTGCTGAAACCGATTCCGCTTGCATTGCCGCGGCTTTGAGCAAGTTCAAAGAGTTGGTCAGTGAGTCCGGTGCCCAAATCGTTGGAGCTTTGGAGTTGAAAGGGGCATCCGGCGCTTTACCTGGTTGGTCTTCGTCAAAGGAGTATGAAGATGCCGTCTCGGTCATGGTGGCTCCGGGCTGGCAAGTACTGAAGGAGGGAGGCGGAAACATTCGCTGCGATGGTCAGAGAGGATTGGCCGTGATGCTGGTCAAGCCGCCGTTTCAAGTGTCGAACTGTGACACTTTGTGCGTGATGGCCGTGCATCCAGGTCATTCTCCAATTCAGAGTGGAGAGTCCATCGTGAAAAGTGTTTGCGGCGATGCGACAACCTCGTGCGCTATAGCGGTTGGAGACTGGAATGTGGACGCTGCTGGTGTCGTTGGTGGATCCTTCAACACCTGGCAAAGACTCGTGGGAGGCAACCCACCTTCATTTGTGGTTCCTGACTCAGAGACCTGCTGCTACCCAAGTACTTGCTGCAAGTTCGACCATGTGGTCACCAACATCCCAGGTGCTGAACCACTCCAGGTTCATGTGTGGCCCTATCAACTCTTGGGCCAGTTCGGAATGGATGAGGAGCACATGCCCGTTGCCGTGCGTTTCAGCGCACCAGCGAAAACCACCTTGATCGGTTAGGAAGGAGCCAAGGCGTGCCAAGGCCTCTCATTTGCAGCCTTTTTGTTGAAGAGCTTGTATATGTTGGGAAGACTCGAGACCGGTGCAACTAGTCATCAGGCTTCTCGTAGGTCTGGCACACGTCCAGATTACAAGTCAGGTCCCAAGATTTCTTCAAGTCACGGCTGCTTTTGCTTCAAGCCGACATGGAAGAAAAAACACGCGGAAAGGAACTTGTAGGCAGTTTTTGCACCTTGCATCAAGTTGCAGTCGTGGGAACCAACAAACCGAGTTTCGAGTTTGTTCTTGACTTGGGTAGCAGTTGTGTTGGTTGAGTGGAGGCAAACAAACTAGCCATGTCACCCGTGTGGGATCATGACAGATGATTGAATTGTGTGAGGCAGGGGCTCCTTGAATTGAGAGCTCATTTCACATCTACAGTAGAGGATTGTTCATCTGCAGAGCCAATCTGGATTCGAAGCAATACAACACTTCACTTGACCGAGCTGAATAGTAGTTGGCAGCGCCCAGATCATGCTTTATACAGTTTTTACAACTGGTCTATTGAAAAGAATGGTGAAGAGAAGTCAAAGTTGTGGATTGGGCGGTAGTGCAAGTTCGCTACATGTTTTTCCCGTTCTCATATAGAGTGCAGAGAGGCTGCAGTGACTCATTCAATAGTACCATTCTCGATAAAATAGAACCAAGAACAGTCCTGGAGCATTCTTATAGACTGTTCCAACAGTCAGTGTGGGCCCCATTCTGGGCTGATCGTGGTTCTGGCTTGGTCTGGTGGCCGCCATGGATGCGCTGGGGTTCCCTCAGGAGCAACTTTTATCCTTGTATGTTTAACGGAACACACAGGGCCTAGGCGTTTTTCCTTTTTTGCAAGGTAATGCAGGGGCCTCCTGTCAATATCAATGTGGTCCAAAATGGGCCGAGTCCTGATGATTGTCCAGCAGCACATGATTGACATGATAATTGACATCTTTCTTTGAGTCCTGACACCTCTCAGCAAATACATTTTTCATTGAGCATTGATTCATCCCATCAAAGCATGAATGGCCTGACTTCAGGTTGGGTGCCCTACCTCCAAACTTGACATTTCTTCAGCCGCGACCATCAATGAAGGGAAGGGTGGTGCAACGCTGCAAAGGACTGTTTGCATCAGCTGACATGCAACTGTGGTTTGTTTGCCTGGAGAGTTCCCCCATCAAGTTGTGGTCCTGCAAGCAAGGTCAGGAACCTTGCGATGTTCTTCTGCGCTTCATGTCTCTAAAGACCTATACAAAAGCTGAGGCAATTGCCTCCAGATGCTCAAGCTGCAGTGGGAGTGCAGGCAGCGGCTGGGCAAACTATGCCTTGGCCTCGACCTGCAAACAGTACTGTAGCAGTTTTGACACAACATTTCTCAAGTGTTGTGTTCCCGTGCTTTATTGGCTAGCCGGACAATGTGGACCAATTGCCTTCGGGGTAAAATCAAGAGTCATTCTGTGGAGGGCAGTGTTCCTTGTTCAGCGGGCTTCTCTCCTGTTTCTGAGCACCGTCACATGTCTGGTAGATGCATGACATTAGCTTTGTTGACGATGTTCTTTTGCATTGGCATGTTGGTCCATTTCATGGGAGAATCTGTGTGCAGAAGGCCTTCAGGCGGCTTCGCTCCACACCCAATGCCAGGCCGGTGCCATGCAACTCACTGTGATTTGCAGAGTGATGCAGACAAACCCATAAAACTCAGTGACCCTCCTCCATGCAACTCGCCAGCCATGGGCAGCCCCATGGGCCATGCCTGGTGGCGCCATGTCTACTCGTTTTCAGGTGTCCAGCAGATGCATCCAGGTCGATCTCCGAATTGCCATAGTGTGGTTTCGACCTTGCTGGGGGTATTCACCGTTTTGGAATCCTTTGGATTGATTGCTTGCAGGTCTTGCAGGTGTGTTCCCCGGTGTGGGCCAGCCAGCTGGACTGCCAGTAGGTATGCCTGGACAGCCAGCTGGGCCACCCTTGGGTATGCCCGGACAGCCAATGGGCATGCAACAGCCTTGGGTTGCTGGGGTGACCAGGAGAGTCTCAGAATTTCTGTTGTGTTTGGCCCTCATCGCTAGACGACCAAGGCCGACGCAATCTGCACCAAGCATGATCCCGTGGGGAACTCGATAAGGATTAGATTGTGTAGCCTGAAAGCTACAACCTACAGATAGCATTGGAGAGGCTCCATTTGAAGCTACTAAGTCCCATGCAGCCAGCTCCTACCTTACCTCCAACTATGCCTGCTGCCTAGTTTCTGGCAATGCTCGGTCGGTTGCTTTTTGAATGTTGAATCCCTTGTATAGCAGTAAGTTGGCCAGGAGCAAAGCTCCTCCTGATCAATTCCCAAGGCCTTCCATTACACCCAACACATGTCAATTTCCTTGTTTTCCCAATTTCACTTGTGTTGCAGGCCAGTGGCGCCGCCTCGCGGTATGCCTCGCCCGAGACCCCGTGGTTGGATGCCTCCCCACGAGGTCTCCGTAGCTGGATGCCTCGTCGCGTGTGTTCCGTGTTCCGTGCAGTCACTTCATAGGCACCGCATCCATACCGACCCAGAGTCCCCATGCAGGCAGGATATGGGAAGACGGTTTTCTAAGTCTGGAGAAAGCTTTTCTTTTGTGGTATGCATGCTTTGGCGACGTTTCAGGCCGCTGGTTTGAAGACACTTACTCGAAGAAGTTCTTGGCTAGACTTGAGAATGTGTCCGGTATTTTCACCAACTGGAATGGGAGCTGGACACGAAACTATATTGCATGGTAGTCATTCTACCAGTGTCACGTTTCTTAGCACTTTGTACAGACGTTTGGATTCGTGGTGTGCAGGCCCGGCCGGGCATGAGACCGGCACAAACGGTACCTCCACGCCCTGTCCCGCCAAGGAGACACGGGAGTTTGGTGGATTGCCGTGCAGGTTGCAATTTACCAGATTTGGACCAACCTGTAAGCTGGGAAACGAAACGAAAATAGGCATGCCTGTTCGTTCACAGGCTCTAGCACAAATCAAGGGTCTTTTTCACATAGGTTGCAAAGAGAGCTCAAGACTGTCGTTGACTGCTTATCACACTTGGCAAGCTTTGCTTCCTTGGCTTCAACCCAACCCTTGAGATCTCGGATGTGAGGACTCCCATGTTCCTTCCTCAGCCAGACAGTTCGTGAATTGCGAAGGTGCTTTGATGGAAAGCCAGTGAACGCGGCTGTTCTCATAGCCACTCTGGCTGATCAGTCATGATCGGGACACGTAGTTAGTGTCTCCTCGCACTTTGCAGTCATGATCGGCCCTCCGATCTAGACATCGCTCGGACAGTCAAGACAGCAAATCAGACTTGAATTGTGCTCCGCGATGTTGCCGACTCCCGCCATGTCGCCCCTTTCTCACCATGGTGATGGGTATTCCTTTCAACACGGCGAGGAGGTGATCCGCCAATTTGTGCCGTGAAGCTTTGTATCTGCATTGTTCAGCAAACGCTTCACAGGCTCCAAAGCAAGTGGTGGTGGACTTGGAGGAACGACGAGACCGCGCTTCGGGGCGACTTTCGACGGGGTTTAGCGGACCGAGTTTTGACGCGTTTGGTAGGAGCCGCCGGGTGAGAAATTCTGGTTCCCGCAGCCTGGGCCTCTTGCGGGCGTAAAGACCAGGGGGAAGGCCAGAAGATGCGGTGCAAAAATCAATGTGCAATCCAGCAGAGGAGTGATGCCGCGCAGGCGATTCTCAAGCTGAATCATGCCACCTATCGATATCCTGGGCAAGATAAGCCAGCGATCAGGGACATCGAGCTTGCTGTCTCTCAGGCCCTTGGTCGAAGCCAAAGCCTGTCTTGGTCTTGAAACTTGGGAACACTTGGAACACCAAAGGCACCACTTGTGCCACTTGTGCCATTTCGTTATTTTGGCACTGTTGGCACCATTGGCACCGCTTCGTCGTGACAGCGCCGCAGGCGAGCCGAGTGGCTCTTCTTGGACCCACTGGCTCTGGGCGCTCCACCTTGCTTCAGGTCTGGCCGAGTCTGAGTCAGGTGAAAGTTCATACTTTTCTTTTGACATGTGTGTTCCACACCTCCTTGCTATTAGGTTGGAGGCCATCGCTAGTAGGTTGGAGGCTGGAGGATCGCAGACATC